AAAGAGAGAGAGAGAGAGAGAGAGAGAGAGAGAGAGAGAGAGAGAGAGAGATACGAGAGCTAACTCTGCCTTTGTGTTGTTGAAGTTAGCTCCCGGCTACTACGACTACGTTTGACATTCTCATTTTCAAGTTGCACCGATGTCCATATATATGTATGTATATCTGAACGTCAAAGGCGAATGGCGAATGTTTTCCTTTGAGCTGGAAATCAATTCAATTCAATTCAAATGCAATTGGTCAAAGGACGTTAGACTAGCTAGAGGAAAATTATTGCGAAAATTTCGTTAGTTTTTAGTAGTGAGTAGAACTAGTTGGGTGTAATTAAAAAATACTTGGAAGTATTTAAGACTATTTAATATCGATAATATCGATAATTCTCGGGAACGAATTTAGTTCAAGGCAAAAGACTTCCTTCTTCGATTTATCGCAATTTTCGGTATAGAGAATCGACTATTAGTTCTCGGGATCTATTATGGAGACTAGGTATTAAAAGGATTCCCACAGGAAGTTCCTAGATGAACAAACCCCATCTTGTTTATAGCAGTGATAATTATATGTATGAATTTTCTCTTGTGTGAACTTTCTCTTGCCTGAACGGCGTTCCACCTTGCAATCAAGGATACCCACTGTCAACCGCCTTGGACGTCCAACCGTCTTCTTTAAGCTCCAGCCTGTGCCTTGCCCTCGAGTGCTGCAGGGGACGTCTCGCCATTTTCCCGCTGTGAAACCTTTTCTGCCAAGTCACAGACTTCGGCTTTCCCAGGCATCTTTGCTGTTGCACATTTGCTCTCCCATAGTCAGCGACAGTTTCCGCCAGGACTCGGTCCTTTCTCTGTCCACCATATTCACAGTAGACGCAAGTTCTACTTTGCCAATTGTATTTTCCCGGTAAACGCAGCTGGATGCGTTCGTTTTTTCCCCATTTTCCCTATTTGGATACCTATTGAATGCAGCCATGACTAGAGAAAAAGCGAGAGGGAGGCAGGTGATGGAAAGCGAGTGAGTGCGTACAGTTACTGCTCTAGTTGAACATATTTTTCGCTGTCAATCTCTCGCAATCTCTCAGTCTGTCATTTTTTTTTCCTGACTGCACAAAGAATCCTTTGATTTACCGTAGATCCCATGTCCCGACGAGTATGTCATCGGCACAGCAATTCCAGTCACTCTGCAGCGGTAGCATCGGTTTCCGTCTGATTTCTCATGCTTCATTGTTGGTGGAACTGTCGACATTACGGCTTCTATTGTGGGTCTACAACAATCAGTCAAGCCTTTGAGCAGGGCCTCCTAGATGAGCCAGCCGGCTAGTCTAGCGCCTAGATAGTTGTTGGGAGCCTAGACCAAGTCTGAAGTCTGAAGTCTAAGTCTAGGGTAGGTCTTGCTTGAGCCGTGTTGACTCTCGCCATATCATGTGCACATCGAGTTAGAAGAGTACTTTCAGTTAGCTGAGGTTTCAGAGGTCTAGTCTCATGCCAGTTCCTTTGGGCTGTCTATATATCCTACCGTACCGGATTTCGCTTTCCCGCATGCTTATTAAATATTCTGATATGCGCGAACGGGGCCAAAGGCAGGGGAAATTGAACGAACATGTTGGCAACCTGATAGATTGCTAATAACAATGCAAAAGGAAATTGATTTAATTGTGAGCGAGAGAAAGCAGAGCGTGGGGAGAGTGAGGGAGAGTGGAGTGTAGAGGAGGTATAAAAAGAGTAGAATTTGAAATTGAAATTGAATGTAAATCGAGTCGATGCAATGTCCTTTGACGTGATTTGCAGTAAACTGATTACGCGAACGGCATTAAATGGCCGACGTTGAGGTCGACTGTTTTTTAGCTGGCCCTCGACGGGGTCTGCCGCCGTTGGCCGTGGCCAAGGGCAGGACTTAATATAAGCCAGAGCCGGACGGACTGCCAGCAGCGGCGCAATGTCAACAAGCAAGCAGCAATAGAATAATAATAACAGCTAAAACAACGAACCAATGGAAATAATCAATAGACGCGCGCGCTAAGGGCTAAGGGCTAAGGGCAGCCATTGGGGCAGTCGTCGCTTGGCCAGCCACTGGGGCATCTATCGATGCTGCCCCAAACACCCAGCCACGCAGCTCTGGCCAGTTGGTCAGTCCGTAGCGTAGCCATGGGTGTCAGAGCCTCTGTCAATGCCAATGGCAGGTGCCAAGGTGAGGCCTTGAGAGAGCAGAGCAAGACACCGAGAGAAAATCACGGCAAATAGACGAGGGTGCCATCTCTCTCTCTCTCTCACTCTCTGTCTCTCTATTCAGTGGGGGGGCATAAATATGGGTACGCGTCGTTTGCTAATTGAGTAGTTAAAAGCAAGGAAAAAAAAACATCATTGAAACGCTCGCGTCGCTGCCGGAAAGTATGCTACAAATTTTTCACTGCCGCTTACAAAGTTGACAGAGTGTGTGGCTGCGTCTCTCTCTCTCTCTCTCTCTCTCTCTCTCTCTGTGTGTGTGTGTGTGTGTGTGTGTGTGTGTGAATTTCCCACTGCTTCGCCCCATTTTAAAGCCTGCCACTGCCGCTGTCGTTGCTGTTTAGCCAGTAACTAGCATACAGTGTGTTTCATTCCGCATTCCTCTCTAACGACGCCAATGCTACTGCTGCTGCTGCTGGTGCTGCCGCTGCCGCTGCCGCTGCTCACACAATAAAACTTAATGACTTTCGCTTTTGCTCTGTGTGCTTTGTACTTTGTGCTCGCGCCTGGCGTTCGCTCTCTTTTTGTTTTCTGCTGCTCTCTTCGCTGTTTCATTGTTGTACGCTGCGTCGCATGTGTGCGTGCGTGCGAGTGTGTGTGTGTGTGTGCGAGTGAGCGTATTTCATATGCGTCAGTCAGCGGCGCCAGCAGCGACGCTTCTGCTGTTGTCGCTGTTGATAATTTGGAAATTCAATTTCAGTTTCTGTTTCAGTTTCAGTTCAATCGCGACCCCAAGAGCGCCCGCACATGTGTGTGCCAATTGAGTCTTGCAAATTGCGCTAACAATATCAATAATAATAAATAAATACAAATTAAATATTATAGCATATTCAACAGCTGCACGTAATTTGAAATATATTATTTTTCCTTTTTTTTTTTTTTTTTAAAATACATTTGGAAAACATTTCGTTTTTCTTCACGTGCGTGTGTGTTATTTTTTTTATGGTGTTTTGTTTTTATTGCGTGGCGCAGGCGAACGAAAGTTGTCTTTGGGAAAATATCTGTTTTTCACAAGCTTTATTTTTTCTTTCTAAAAATAGAAGCAAACAAAAATGAAAAGTACACGAAAATAAATGGGATATGCGAAAATGTTTTGCCATTTATATTTCCATCTCGCTCCCTCTTTCTTTCTCAACAATAAAAACAAAGCAACAATAAAAATAAATCATTAAACAAGAAAATATATAAATTGCATTTTATTGAGCAGGCAATGTGACTCTGATGCAACCAAGTTGTCAGTGCGTAGAATAAATTCAAACAAAAAGTGAAAGAACCTAAACAAATCAGAGCGAAGGCGCAGAGATAGACAATAGACGAGTGCATATTTGTTTTTCTATGTGTGAGCAAGACTTTGTTGTTTAGAGAAATAAGACACACAAGTATCTAAAAAAGAAGACATTGAAAACCTGATGGCAACAACAGCAACGAAAGCAGCAGCACCAACCGCCAATGCGGTGCTCGCCAACAGCAGCAGCAGCAACAGCAACAGCAACAGCAACAATAATATTATAAGTGCACCAATTAAAATTCCATTGAGCGAACGCTTCTTGACTCAGACGTCGACTGGCTCAGCGGACAGCGGTGTGATTGTGACGAGCGCCTCTCAGAAGCAGCTCTGCAGTAGCTCGCAGGCGACGCTGCTGCAGTTGCAACAGCTGCCGGTGCGCAGCAGCAGCGGCTCACTTAGCCTACACGGATCGCAGCCGAAATGGAAGCGGCAACAGCAGCAGCACAGGCAGCAGCAGCAGCAGCAACACCAGCAGCAGCAACAACAGCTGCTGCTTAGCCAGGACAGCGGCATCGAGCAGCGCGTCGGCGAGGGCAACTCGAGCGGCGCGGGCGGCGGCCAGTCGAACAGCAGCAGCGAATCGCTGGGCAGCAGCAGCGGAAATGAGCAGCTACAGGTAGCAGCTGTCGCTGGACGAGCGCGCGCCGCATCGGCGCTTGAATTGAGCCATGTCGGCGTCGGCGTCGGTGGCGGCAGCGGCAGCGGCAGTGGCAGCGGCTCTAGCAATGCGCTGCGGCGTATTAAATACAAGAGCACGAACAGCACACAAGGCTTTGATGTGGAGGATCGCATCGAGGAGGTGGACATTGGGGACGATCGTGACGACGACGAGCACGATCTGGAGGAGGTGGAGGATGATGACGAGGACGATGGCGTCGCTGTCGATGGGGACGAGGACGACACGCAGTCGGGCATCATTATCAATATTGGGGGGCACGAGGACGAGGAGCAGCAGCGCCTGAAGGCCGAGATAGCGGCCAAGGTGAAGGCCGAGGAAGAGCTGCCGCTTGAGCTGGCGCCCCTGACCGTTGCCGCTGCGGCGGCGAAGCGGCGAGATGCGCGCAGCCTGGGCACGGATGGACGCATCTTCTTTCCGCTGCTCAAGATCAACGAGGACCCGCACATTGATGCCAAGCTGATCAACCGCAAGGACGGCCTGCAGGACACCATGTACTATCTGGACGAGTTTGGCAGCCCGAAGCTGCGCGAGAAGTTCGCACGCAAGCAGAAGCAGCGCCTCGCCAAGCAACAGAAGGCGCTCCTCAAGCGGGAGCGCGAGGAGCAGCGCAAGAAGCGCAACACAACGGTGGCCTCCAATTTGGCGGCCAGCGGCCTTGACACCAAAGACCACACAACAACAACAACAACAACAACAATAATAACAACCAATCACTGTGATAGAAATCGTCTAGCGGTCAACAAACAGATGTCGGATCCTCATCCCGATGCCAGCGACCACGTCGAAGACGATGATGACGATGCCGATGCCGATGTTGGCTTGGTTAAGATGCGCGTTCGCAGTCATAGCCATGATAATCATTATGATGCCAACAGCAGGGGCAACATGAAGTCAATTGGCTCCGCGGACGATGCTGGCTACGGGGATGAGGACGACGATGAGATTGAGACCGGTGCCGAGGCGGAAACAGCGCTCCACCACGACGATGGCGCCGATTGTTTCGAGAACGTAAAGACTGTAAAGCTGGCTAGAACACAATCCTGCGTTAGTTGGACCAAAGTGGTGCAAAAGTTTAAGCACATACTAGGTAAATACACGATAGTAATCGGCCTTCGACAGCTATCGATAGTGTTATCGTTATCGCTATCGCCTTGTCGTTGTTCAAATCAAACTGAATTGTCTTTACTAATCCGTATCAAACATATATTCAAAGAGCTTGCTTGCCCATTATTTCCATTATATCATGATATTTGTTTTTATAAATTCAGCTGTGTTCACACTAATCTTAATTCTCTCTCTCTCTCTCTCTCTCTCTCTCTTTCTGTCTCTTTCTAGGTAAGTTTTGTTGATTTGAACGTAAACTAGCGTGTAAAATGCTATCTGGTAAGCTATTTAAATGGGGGTCTTAACTAATGCAAAGGACTTTGGATAATTTTCCTCGCCTTAGTCTCGATGGTCTCTTCACTTGAATCTCTTTGATGAATTCTGTGCGCTTTGTACTCGATAGCATGCCGATAAATGATAAATACATTTTGGCGAAACATATTCTACTGATCCATTCCAGTCGTTTCGCTTGGCTGAAAAACCATCGCTTTGCCCTGTATTTTTTATTATTTTTATTTCTCTGGGGCTTTTGTCGGGCGGCTGATAAGTGAAAGCGACACTGCCCTAGCCAGTGCCACGCCCTAGTTTGAAAAATAAATCCACAAAGTGTTGCTATCATTAGTCTTTGTTGCTGGACTCCCTGATTGATAAGACGACAGCGTTGACTTATGCCAGCTGATGATTTTCACTTTTTCTTCGTTTTTTTTTTGTTTTTTTTTTTTTTTCTTTTTGGAAAGTCATTGCCTTAAAGAAGAAGAGATCCTACGTATATACTTACAAATAGGGAGACTGGGCTTTCGTTTAGTAGAAATCTGTGATGTAATGTGGATTAAAATGAAATGAAATGGATTAGTGACAGAAATGAGATAAAGCTGTTCAAATTCTCAGACGTATTGTAAATTATTTCTATGTACAGACCTATATGTTTGAAACTTTATATATACATGGAAATAATTTATAATGTGTCTGAAAATCCGAACTAAAATGTCAAGTATTGCATTAAAACAAAGTTAATGGCGCAATGAACTAAGCATGTTGAATGTGAATGAAACACGGAACGCTATGAGTTAATTGCTATGCATTATTATGCACAGGTGAACAAAATGGAAACATTACGGCGGTACAAAGTGGAATTGAAGCAAGCAATGGAACAAATACTTCAACGGCAATTATAATTATAAATATATATAATCTTCGAACTTTTACTTGTATAACAGTATATAACTATACAAGAACTTTACGGGGTTGCAGACTTATATGTTTGATTTGGATGGATGTTATCATCCCGTCATTAGATTATATTCCACACACTATATATATATTAATTAGATTGCGAATCGAAATGGGATTAATTGATAGCCAGTTATTTATATGAATTGACTTGAAGTGCATGATAAGTGGTATATGTATAACAGCTGATCTTTGTATGACTCTTGAAAGTATATTGAGTCCGTATTCCAAATAAGACTCGACATGTTAGTTGTATACATAGGAACAAGAGTTGGACTATTTTGGGTGGTATATGATATATGTACATATATAACAGTTGATCTTTATAGAACAATTAAGAGCTCATAGAGTAGGTACTCAAAATGAGATATAATTTTAGATAATAAATAAATAGAATTTAGATATATGTATGTGTATGTGACACGATTTGAAAGACGTGTCTGTTGATATAAACTTTCGAGACATGTATAATGCTGGCGAGATAGACTCTTATAACAGCTGACTTTTGTATAACGATGGTACGTACTTATACAGCTACTGCTGTGGCTGCTGTTGGTGCTCTTCAGATTCTGAGTGATAAGGGGATGACACGAGTGCTGTGTGCTCAGGTTATCAGTTTAGCAGGGCGTCAAGTCGTGAAAGATGATGATTATTATTTTTATATGGCCGCATATACTAATGCGCTTTGTATGTAGATGTTTCGTTAACATTTTTGTCGCTGTTGCTGCTGCTGCTCAATGTTGTTGTTGTTGTTGTTGTTGTTCCGTTAATAATCACGCGCTGATGTTGACAAACCGAAATCCGAACGCCGAACGCCGAAAACTTATTCCAAAAATAATGCAAAACAACAGTCTCAGTACATATAGAAATGTCGATATGTATATAGTATATGTGTATATATAGTACGCTTGCATATAGTATATGTATCTGGAGGCGTGTCTCTGCTGGCGCTTTTCTTGCCAGCTGTTGCTGTGCCTGCGCCGCTCCGTGCTCAAGTTGAAAACATTTGTCAACTTGTTTTGCTGGCTTTTTAATTTGTTTCGTGTTTTTGTTTTTTTCGTGATATTTGTGATTTGATTTAAATTTGAGGGGGGCCTGACAGCCTCAGTAGCCAAGAGCAACAACAACGCGATCAGCTTGGACAACGACAGCAACTGCTTGTTGCCGACTGATAGAAGACAAAAGCGGAAGCAGCTGAGGGAAGATCAGGGAGTGCGGGCTACACAGAGAAAAAGAGAGAGATAGAGAGAGAGAGAGAAAGAGAGAGAGAGGGATAGTTAGATAGTACACATGATTTAGCCTGCGATCTATATATAACCCCCACATCCGAAACATCTCAGACTTGACTTATGTAAGCTTCGATCGGCTCGAGCTAAGTTTAGCTCAAATAACAGTTTAACTAATATATTTAATAATGAATATTATAGACACAGACAGGGACTGATTGGCTCATCATCAGGTGACTTGCACTAATTAGACTAAGAAATAATTCACTCTACACACACTGCGATCTACGATCAGAGGGAGATTCTGACTTTGATATATACTCGAAAGTAACTGAAATGTGCGTTTATCTTTAGAGTAGCAGTGTGTTGGCCAAGTTAGGCAGAGTCTTCTCTGATTGTCGCGTTGCATCCAACTGCTCCGATGTCATTTTACAGCTATTGTTGCTCTGTTTAAGCAGCTGTGCCAAAAACTGCAAGAATTTCGCTTTCAGTCTCTCTCTCTCTCTCTCTCTCTCTCTCTCTCTCTCTCTCTCTCTTTCTCTGTGCCTTATTCTTATCGATCGGTTATAAAAAGAAAAATACAAAAAATGGCTTCCATTTGCTTTTGCCATTCGCATTCGCATTCGTCTTGAGAAATGTGCCTCGCTTTATGCAATCGCTTTGGTTCGCCCACACTTTGAGGGCTTCTTTGGCGTAGGTTTTATGCGCTGCACCTAAAAGTATGCAACTCGTGCGCCAGGGCAAGATCAGGCGGCTGGGGGAGAGTGAGGGTTGCGAGAGAGAGACAGACAGAGAGAGAGAGAGAGAGAAAGATACAGAGATTCAGCTGCTTAGGGTTTGATTGCCAAGTGCCTTTTGTCCGTGGTGGAGACATCTCGTGATCTGATGCCTTCAACCTCTAACACACACACACACAGACAGAAAGACATGTATACATATATATATATAAATAAATATATAATATGTATAAAAAATATATATAAAAAATCTCCCCCTCCTCAATACAGTTGCCAAAAATTTGTCTTTTTTTAACCACACTCGGCTGTCACTCACACTCACCTGACAACGAGCCGAAAGACGCAGCTCCTAACCATCCCATATGCGCTTAGAAATTGCTTTGTATAAGTAACAACAATGCAACGACAACAACAAGAGAAAACTCAGAACTAATTGAAAGGAAAACAATAACAAAGAAGACTCTGCTCTAGAGTCGGGAGTAGTCGACTTTGATATACACTGCACATACTTCTTCTGCTCGCAGTATTGGGATGCATTTATGGGGCTCACTATGGGAAATAAATTGTTGAATAACTTTTGGTCAATGGACTTTGAGAACTACATAATAATAGAACTACTAAATAAAATTTTGAGGGATTTGTAGGTGGGGAGATGAAAAATCAACATTTTTATGATAGTAAATTCGATTGTAATGCATTATATATTCGAAATCTTTACCTCAAAATAAACTTATCCATTTTGATCGATAGTAGAGAATCAGAATGACAAACTCGTAATACATAAAAATTGTATTTTAAAGTCTTTAGCGGGACATGAATGCCAATCGAGTGACTCATCTCGTCGTTCAGATCAGGAAAGTGTATAGTATACATTGTATATACACTGTATACCTTAGTCTGTGTCAGTTCGCAAGCCAATATAATTTGTTGACGTGATGAATACTGATATTTAGCAGTGTAATACGTTCTATTATATCATAAATACAAATAAATGAAGCTTAAACTAACTTGCTTATCTAATATTCACAAGGTCTATAATCAATATCCTAACTGCTGCATTATATATCGGTTGTCTTTGTTAAATTGGTAGAAATTCTCAATAAATGTGGGAACAAATCGAATAATAAATGTTATTCAAAGCGCCGACTTAAATCTGGTCCCATCACTCCCCTTCGCCCCATCCCTCTCCCTCTGCCTATCTCTTTGCCAACTGAGCTGTGGTGATTCGGTCTGTGCTTATATCGCGTTTGAATTAAGGCATGCGACGCGCATATTTAGAAAAAAGGATGAGACTGAGTAGGGGACGGTGAGAAGGGAAAGAAGGGGGGGCAGAGGGTGTAGCTTCTTTTGCATGGGAGCTCTACAGTATTCGGTTTCGGGGCTCCGTCACGTTATTACAATTCGAGTTTGTGTTTATGTGTGTGTGTGTGAGCACTTCCCTTTCTCTTCTATCCTCTCTCGCTCTCTCTCTCTCGTTCTCTCTGTACTCCTTCTATTCCCTGTGTTTTGAAGTGGTTTCTTCTCTTTCTGCTGCGTCATGCGGTTTTTTCTTTCTTTCATTTCTTTTGCACTGCACATGCGATACCCCCGGCACCGTTAATAGACACACCCCCACCGCCCCAGCGCCTGCCTCCGGCATTGGGTCTCGCAAGCGCAGTTCTAGTTGCCAACTGTGTTTGTATATCGATTAGTTGTCGTCGCCCCACAAAATACAAAAGCAAAAAAAAAAACCCAAAGACTTGAAAAATTGTTTTTCTATTTTGACAACGCCCCAAGCCCGCCCACTCTACCGCCCAGCTACCCCCAATTGACCAAAGTGTTGTTTTACAATATTTACAGTGCATTAAAACGGGAGTGCGCATATATTCATGCATATTATAT